TGCATCTTGATGGCAGCCAGGTTGATGGGGTAGTCAGCTGACTGGATGATGGGACACAACACCTTGATACACTGGTCAGGACTGATGGACAACGCCAACATGGCTGCCGTCTCCTCTGCCGCTCGTACCACCTGCAGGAAAACGAGCAAACATTATCAGAATTGATTCTATAAGACTTTATGTGTTTTCAAAATGGTAAATATGTCCAGTTCATATTCACGCAGCAGATAACGCTTTGATCATACATACATACATACACTACAACAACTTTTGTACTATCTCTGAAGTCCTCATGATAAAAAAACAACTAATTTGAACTAATTTGTGTGTTGGAGTAAATGTACCTCCTTGTGGGGGTCTTTGTGAGCCTCCAGGGCCTTCATGATGGTGAGCTCTGCGTAGTTTTTGAACCTCCAGGGCTGCTTGCCAAGAATCTCCCTCAGCACCCGCAGAGCCAGCGTACGGATCACATGCTGGCAGAATGACAAAGATTGCGATTTAAAGGAAAGGAATTGAGCCTGTTTGCTTGGTGTTATCACAGAAATGTGGAGGGCGGAGTGCGTTTACCTCTCTGTCACCCATCGTTTCGAGCAGGAGCAGCAGGATGGTCTTGAAATGTTCATCCCACACCTGCAAGGTGTTTTCACGAATCAGCTTGAGCAGTTCGCACAGCGCTGCCTTCCTCTCCTCAATGCGCTCGTTGTGATTGGACAACTCTTTCAGCAGTTCAGCCACCAGCTCCGATTGGTCCAGGCTGCTATCTGTTTACAGAAAATAGACAAGAGGAAAAAACAATAAACTTAACATATAATGTGTTTAGGCTGGTACAGCGTGTCTGTGTTTTTCTGTCAGAATGTGTTCGTATACCGTCAGTCATATGCTCAGAGTCGTCCATACTGCTGTCTTTGCGGCTGTGTTTGAAGGGAGAGTCTAAGAAGTGCTCACGGGCTCCTCGGGGGCTGGAGGAGAGCAGGGGGGTGTTGAGGAGGGAAGTCTTGTTGTCCAAAGCCATGCGGCCTCCGTCCATCGAGTCTCTGCCGTCTGTCCCACTGTCCCCCTGCAGAGATGCAATTAAAGTGTTAAAGAGCCTCGGATTGTCAGGTCACTTCTTGAGAAGAAGTTGGTTTGTGATTTTAGGCTTTATTAAAAGAAATCACATCATATCAGTGTTTAATCTCCTTTACACAAAGAAAATCCCCACACACTCATGATGACGTCCATACCTACCACAGCTACATAGATATAGATTGCTTGGGAGATTACTGTCAGAGGATCAGCAGATGGATTTAATCGCAGTTAAAGATCCAATGTGTAGGATTTAGCGGCGATGAATGCTGCTAACAACTAACTGAATGCTGCTCGTGTCTGTATTTGACAACCTGGGAATGAGAACTGGCTGTTTGTAGGTGTATGTGTCAGGTGATTAAACACTAATGAAAACATACCCATACATATTATATTCCATTTCTGCCAATTCTCTAGTATCTAGTATCT